GTCCCTCCCGCCCTCCTACCGCTTTTCAGGAGAGTCCACATGGAAGGTCCTCTCTATGACCGTCGTCCACTGCAAGCATCGGATGACAAAGGTGTTGGGACGAGGCCGCTCAGTCTTCATCAGCTGGCACTCTACAAAGGTTCAAAAATAAAGTAAAAAAGGGAAGAGGATGGTTTGGGATCAAATACCCTCATTCCAAAAACCTCATCCCCAATGGCATCAGGGATGAAGACACGCTGCCCAACACCAGCTCTTAACCGCCCACAGCCCCGAAGCCACCTGCGCCAATGTACCTGCTACCGAGAAGTTATTCAGAGGTGGCAAACTGTGGTCAGATGTCTCTGGCCGTTCTTTGTAGCCAATGAAGGAGCCATCACTTTCCAGCAGGAAATACCGAGGAAGCCATGTTTTGATGTATTCCCCTGCAAGACAGAGCAGGGGGGGGCCATGGCACAGGGGTTTTTGGGGAATGACCCCTTGTAGCGGGGGTCCCATTGCTGAGATGGAAAATTAAATGGCAGAAGGACCCCTTGTAGATGGAAAACTAAGTGAATGTTTTTCTTCAGGCTGTTTCTAGGAGCTGCTTTGGGGAAGCTCCTGCAAAAAGAGGCCGGCTGCTATAATTTAGGAGAGGCGTGAGCAGTGGCTTAGGCTGAAACATGCTTGCTCCAAGGTAACAGAGTGCAAAAAAGCTGCCATGAACACAGGGATCTGGCTGGACTGCCGGTGGGAGAAAGGTGGCTGGAGGCAGCTGGCTTTCATGCCCGCTCCCCTTGCAAACCACCCTCAGCAAGGGAAGGAAAAATAATAGCCACCTTCAATGGGTCTAAAAATAAAATCCCATGTGCGCAGCTGCTACAATGCTGCGACGTTCCCCATGTACGGCTAAAAATAAAAGGGCTGGCTGGGGGTCTTGCTGCAGGGCCACAGCGGCAGGTTGCTTGGCAAACAGGGTCTGTGGGGAGATATTAGTATTGTCCTCAGACTTCCTAATGCGGCAAGCAATTAAAAACACTGCTGCTGGAGGATTTGTTTGCGGTACAGACCGAACGCCAGCGAAGTGGCATTGCTGATTGCTGGGAAAGCTGCTGAGCTGAGCCAGAAGTGGGAGAAAGCTGAAGGGGGAAGGTGCTGGTGGGTTTTGGGATGCCCTGCAGTGGCAAGGTGCCTCCCGTTTTGGGGCAAGGGGAAGCAGAGAACCCCCTGCATTTGTGCCAGGGAAAGGTTAAAATTGCTGGTAACTGGAAACCAGAGCTCTCCTTTCCTGGCAGCAGCTGCAGCGCCGGATTCCCTGCGGTGACCTGGCCTTGGAGGGATGCCACCGACACTGGCTCCCTTTTGGTGAGGGAGGGCTCCCCTCCCTCACCTCTCTTGTGCAGCCAGCCCTCCTTCACGACTGACACTTCGTTCATGGTGGTGCTGCAGGCTCTAACCCCTTCTCTGCCGCAGGACCGGGGAAGTGGCTAACACTGGCGGCAGTGGGTGGCGGGGAAGGGTTTTTAGAGTGGACACAACCTGTGGGAGAAGAAAGAGATGCTCAAAGCAAGTCGTCAAAGCTTCTGATGCTCTCCTTTCCCCTCCCTTGAGAGGAGGCAACTGGTTTCCGCACGAAGTCACCCCTACGTGCCAATTAAAAACTCCTTTGCTGCACCAGTTTCTCAAAAAAAGGAACCCCCCCAAAATTAAAAATCACCGTGGTGGCCTTGCAAACCTGGAGATGCCGGGATGGAGCAGGTTTGTCGGCATCGTCCCTTTACCTGGCTGCCGTGCGATGAGGGATTAAAAAGCCTCAGGAGGGTTGGACAAGCTTGCGGGGGGCACGGTCCCTTGCAAAACAAACAGCTAGAGAAAAATTAATCGGAGTCACCTGACAGGATTAACTCCCCAGGCTCCGAAATCCCGCTGCGCAAGGCGATGGGAGGTGACAGGACAAAGGGACATACCACGTCCCTGTGGTGGCTGGAGATTGTCCCCCACGACAGTCACCTTGGGCTTGCTGCTCCCCCCATCCGCTGGCTTTAATCAGGGTAAAATAAAACCCAAGCCCACAAACTTACGGATGGGTGCAAGGGTTTGGGGTTTTCTGGCTGCATCCAAAGCCAGAGCAGCCCAAGACGAATTCCTCAGACATGGTGTTATCCCGATGGAGCTCCCACTCCCCTGCAATCCCTCTGGATCAATCCCAGTGCCTGCCTAACTCCCAAACTCCAGCCTAGTTTTAAAACCTTCAATCTCACCTTTAAAGCTCTCTCTGCTGCAGGGACAAGGGGGTTTCCAAAGGGAAGCACAGCGGGTGGGAAGGAAAGAATTTCTCTTCCTTGCTCCTGTAAATTTGCCTGTGCCTTCCTGATGGGAAACCATCCCCCCTGCAAGCATCCCAGGATGCTCCTGCAATCCCAGATGGGGAGGAGGATTTTGGGGACTCTGCTTCGCCCCGAGACTCCTCCGCTCACCCAGCAGTGGACAAGGACATGGGGTAGGCTGCTAGGCAGATCTGGCAGACCAAATACAGGTAGGACCTGGCAGTGCACAGAGCTAACATTTCTCCTGCTGCTGAAGGGTCGATCTCCAGATGGATCCAATCCTAGCCCGGCTCCGGCAAAGAGCTTGTTGATAGCAATTAAAAAGGAAATAAAAACCTTGCTGCGCAATGGGCTCTAACTGATTTTGGAGCTGGCCTGGAGAGGCTAAGCCTGCCGCAAGTATCCCACGAGGTATCCGGACCATGGATGCAAATGAGATCACAAGAGGCTTTAATAAAAAAAACCTCCTAAATTATGAAAAACAGTCCCTAAACAAGCTGTTTGACGGGGATGGAGGTTGCAGTGTTTTGGGATCGGGTCATCCTGCGGCCAAGTGTCACCAGAGCAGAGAGGATACAGCGAATTTGTGGCATCAGAGCGCGGTAAAACAGTCAGGATGCTACGAGCCTTCAAACCCAGCAGCTGAGCAAAGATGTTTTCAGCGAAGTCTGGGCATCACCCGTTTGCATCCAGGGCTTGTTTCTATGCTGCGCAAATTACCCTGGCTGCAATTAAAAGCCTTCAGTTGGTTGTACCTAACCTTTGATTATATTTTTGTGCAAAGTGTGGGATGGCGAGGCTCTTGAACCCAGAGCCTGCAGACTTCTCCGAGCTGACACCGAGTCATCCTTCAACAGCAATAACAAAAAAAAAAAAAAAAGGTATTGGTTTAAAAAAAACCCAAACAAACCCAAACCATCGCTTTTTGTGTGTGCTTAAGGATAATTATGACAGTGGGAGAACTGTGATTCAGGAACTGCCAGCAGCTTGAAGCTTCAAACACCGTCATGGTCCCCTCCTTGTTCCTGCAGGCACCAGTGGACTTTTAACATGATCCTGACAGCTAATGAGTAGTGGGAATGAGCAGCAGTCATTACACGCATTCTCTGAGCCCTGCTCGTTATGATTATTTCCAATGATGGATGGGGATTATATCCACCACCGAGGGATCCTGACAGCCCCACAGTCACCGTGAGAGCGGTTTCCAGGCACGCACCGTAAAGTGGCAATAAAAAACCACCAAAAGCACCCCATTTCAGGCGCATTTAAACCAGCTGTGAAGCGGTGCTGTAGCAGATTTGCATCTCGAAGTGTGGCAGCGTGCATCCTGTCCCCGAGACAAGCAGTGAGGAGCTTTCAGAGAAGTTTTGAAAGGTGTCAGTGTGGAAAGCCACGGAACAGCGCAGCGCAAGCCCCCTTCTCCAGAGGAGTGTGTGGGGGTGCCGGGTACCATCCCCTCCAGCTGCAGAGGCAGGCAGGGGGCTGCAGTTGTTACTTATGTGGGGTCAAAGCCCTCAGCTGGGCTTGCTCAGGGGGTTGCTGGGGAGGGGGATGAGTCCCCCAGTGCTGCTGCTGCCCACCCAGCAGGGATGCCTCAATCTGCAGAGAGCCTCCAAACCTTGTTCTGCATTGGCAGAACAACCTCCAGGTGAGAGACAACCCCCAAACCCCAGAGGCTGACA